TATCATAACTATCATATCGGCCTTCATAATTCACTGTACAGCCAAATTTATGGTATAATATAATTAAGTACTTTAAACATGAAATATAATGAAACGCTGTAAAACAAGTCTGCGGATGTTTAGCAGAACATATAGCGAACCATGCAGTCCTGAGCTATATACTGCACAAATGAGTGTTGCGTTGTAAATCTTTATACAAATAAAGATATTTCAATAGAATGATATTGTCATTTTTGTCGGTACATGCTACGGACAATGTCGAGGATCTGTCGATGTTTTTCGGCGTAGCTGTATTAAAATGGATTTTGACCTAGATTTGTAACAAATAAAATTGTTAGTTACAAAATCTTCAGCTAAAAGAGGGTGTTTTTCATTGGTGGAAAGACTGGCTGTTATGAAATTTAAGGACAAATTCGTAATCTTTAGTTTACTTGTCTCTAAGTATAAAGTTGTATTAAAAATATTTATACAATCGTTAACTAAATATCACAACGTTATGACCAAAACAAAGATATATCAAAATACAAAAATATACAGTACATATGATTTCATGTACAATTTATTTTGTTGATAATATTAACAACAAACCCAACTTTTTGTTTTTCAGCCTTTACTTAAACATTCGATTACTACTCACTCGTACTTTATTTGCCGTAGCTTTTCTGTTTTCTATGAAAATGAACGATATTTTTGATCAACAAAAAGATTCTCCAGAGCTGATATGAATTGCGAAAATTAATATATTTAAAATGCGACATTATCATAAAGAATCGCAAAACTTTAAGTATTATTTTCTGTGCGTAATAATAACAAATTAATTTATTCATAGTTATTCGGCGTTTGTTTACACCGGTAGGTAAATTTACCGAAATACACCCCAATTGACTACCTCAATCTGAAACTGTCTCACTTGATAATCAGTGTCATTGATGGGTTATACAAAATTGAGTTTAGTACTTATTATAAGATAAATAGATACATGTATATTTCTGTATATATGGAACAACATTTATATTTTACATTCCACATTTAAAGTACATTGTAAAATATAACCTGTGTAGGTGTACGACACGTAGCCATGCCAGTAGGCTTAACTTGTACCTCCACCTCATACCCCTAGTATATACAAAATACTAGTCAAGCTGTGCAATTTTTAATACAAATCTTTTTTTTATAAAATACATAATTTAATTTAATTTTACCCATGAAATATGGTGCTATATCAGTCAAATATATTTCATATTTTTTAAAAATAAATATGAAATATAAATATGAAAGTGGGCGGAGTCAAAACTCATATTTATTTTACGAGACTTCTTTCGCCATTTTGTTTGAAAAATCTGATAAATACAAAACAACTTTTTCTTGAATTTTGTTTTGAAAACTATCTAGAATGATAGAAAATGGTCTAACTAAGAAAATTAATCCGAACGCCAATATCTTTAATTCAGTAATTAACGCTGTACGGACGTTTAAATAGTTGTTTACATGACGTCACAATGTAGCGCCAAACAGCGCGTGCTTACGCATAAATTACTGCGCGCTGTACAATTTTAGTTGGTAGCAAGCAAGGGCATTTGTTACCATTTTCTTTGATAATGAAATTAAATAAAAAGGTTATTTTTTTCGTTTTTCGTGAAATATGGTATACATTTTCACTCAACGTGATAAAATGCCACATATTTTCACTCGCCGTACCGGCTCGTGAAAATATGTGGCATTTTATCATGTTTCGTGAAAATATATTTCATATTTCACTCAAACGAAAAAATATCCTCTTAATAACTTTTACTAGTAAGGTTATGTTTAACTTTTGATTTAAGTCTTCAATTATTCATTTTCATTGCCAGATAGATAAGAAGGCATTATAAATAGTATAGTTCAGAGTTGATATGTTCCATTGATTGTTTATTACAGTTTGTATTTGTCGCGGGTCAGCTCAACCAGGTAGGCAGTATCATGGAATTACATAAACATGCAATATATATATGGTACATATACAAAAGTCATTATTTAATTAAATACATAATATTACAATTACTAACATACATGATTCATTAGAGTATATATTAATAAATACAAAATACATTTATACCTGTACTTATATAAATAAATAAATACAGAAATGGTAAATATTATATAGCACAAAAATGGCTTTGTTATTGTTTTGACTTTTTGAATAATGGCGGAGAAAACGGAAGGAGTTACGATTGGTTCTTGACCCGTGCAAAAGTAAATCGAATTCAACAAAAAGGAGTTTTTAATACCAACAACTGCATATGACAATCTATAAGAGTACTATTTAAAACTGATATAATTTGCTCTGTGTTTGTATGTGTGTATATTTAAAAATGATATAATCTAGGATAGTTTATTGGAAGTATAGGTTAAGTATAGGCCAGTACAATGTAATAAACAAATATATATATACCCTATGACACATTCCCCCCAGCTGAAAAATGTCGTCCCGACATTTCCAACTCGGAAACATATATACAACTAATATATACTGAAACAACATTGTTCAGCATAAAATATATATCATATCAACTATATATTCCACTTCCTATTTACCGATGGTCATTTGATATTTGGCATACAGCTAGGTGTCCCATATAATTGATTTAAGGTCTGTCTCTCATCCATTTCCTGTTTACCGACTTACATGACTTAGCTATATTTTTGACATTAATGGTCAATGATAAGAAATTTTCGTAACAGTTTTCTCAGTAACTACTGATCACAGTCTCGTGATATTTGGCATAGAGCATTAACTAGTGGTCCCATATCGTGGGATTCAATTTCAGGTCTGTTGCAAATCCACTTCCTGTTTATGGCCTTAGTTAAATTTCGACATTAATGGTCAATGGTAGGAAATTTTCGTAACATTTTTCTCAGCAACTACTTATCACAGCCTCTTGATATTTAGCATACAGCATTACCACATGGTCGCATACTGTGGGATCCATTTTCAGATCTGTCGTTTATCCACTTCCTATTTATCGATTAAGTTAAATTTTCGACATAAATGGTCAATGGTCAACGGTAGGAAATTTTCATAACAGTTTCCCCAGCAACTACTTATCACAGTCTCGTGATATTTGGCATACAACATTAACTAGTGGTCCGATATAGTGGGATTTGATTTAAGGCCTGTTGCAAATCTACTTCCTGTTTACCAATTGAGTAAAATTTTCAACATTAATGGTCAATGGTAAACATTTTTTTGTATCATCACAGCATTATGATATTTGGTAAACAAATTCAAACCGGCCTTTTCTGTCTTTGGCCCATTTTTAACTTTTTTTCGGCGTGAAATCAGCTTAGAGGAAAAAAAAATTCCGTCGAATGTTGTAGAATTTCAGATATTTTGTCCGCCTATGACTTTGTGATATCCGCAACAGTTGCCAAGGATACACAACGACGTCACGTGCAACGACGGGCTTTGACGGTCAACTTTGACGTCGTGCGTACAAACACTGGCTCAAACTATTGGCATAAAATCAACGGAATGCAATCAGAAATATGGCAAACTTTCTGCGTGCCAACTTCCAAGACGGTACTTGAAAGTTTACAAAGTGTCGCGTTCTACCTTAATTACAACCTGGCATCGCCGCCTGATGTTGCTGATGAGCTTGAGGACCTTGTGAGTAGGAATCTGGACCCATTCCTTTATGATTGCATGTCTAAGCTCCTGAACTGGTGTTGTTTGGACGTGGCGTGAAGAAATGGCTTTCTGCAGCAAATCCCAAACATGCTCAATTGGATTTAAATCCGGGGACCTCGTTGGCAAATCCATGCGGACTATAGTTGCCTCCTCAAAATATCGGTTTGTGATGTGGGCTCTGTGTGCACGGGCGTTGTCATCCATAAGAATGAAATCAGGGTACGTGCGTACATGGACGTCTAAGATTTCATTGACGTACCTTACTGCCGTCAGTGTGCCGTTTTCAATGATGTGTAGCTCCGTCTTTCCCAGAGCGCTTGTTCCCGCCAACACCATAACTGAACCCCAACCAAAACGGCGGTGTTCTGCAGCGCATGCTGGAGCTTAGCGTTCATTTTGGACCAAACCCTAGCCCGTCTGTCCGCGAAGTCCACACAAAAATTTGACTCATCAGTGAAGAGATCCGGGGACAATCATTAATTGTCCAGGTGACATAAGTCTGCGCCCATTGCAAACGCTCTTGAATATGGCGTTGTGTCAAAAGAATGCGAATTGCTGGCCTCCGTGACCTCAACCCAGCATCATGCAACATGTTTCTAACAGTTTGTGTGCTTACACGCATTCTGGAAGTGGTTACGTAAGGTCGTAGCGTCCGGCGTGGTCCTGAAAGACATTTCCATTTATTTGGAATCGGTTCCACATCCTGGAGACAACGCTCTTGGACACCCCAATGACATTGGCAACGTGCCATACTCCAACATTTCAATACCCCTGTTCATCTAATGTTAACTAAAATGACGTCTAGCCTGTCGCTTTGCCATAGTTTTTTAAAACAACAAATGTCTATGGGTATGCTTTTCCACGTGCTTATCGTGCAAGGTGTACATGTTCAGGTGTATCGTTAGCGTAAATATGATTTTAATATGATGATAATAGGACTGAAATATGCAATGTCAAAAAGGTGATCCTTAGCAAATTTTGAGTTTATTATAATATTATACATGTACTCATATTTACAGATTGTGAGTAACGGTGTAAACGAAATCATTTTAATAACAATACAGAACCCACTTTGCCAGCGGTTTCAATGTTAATTTTTGGCTACATGAAACAATGAAACCACGATGATGAAAGGTCGGCAGAACGATGGTGAAAACACGAAATTAAGTCGTGCATTTACCAACGTGGTGTCGTTATATCAACTTTTTACCATCGTTTTTTTTTCGTGGTTTTGTCCTTTCGAGTTATGTGTGTCGGGAAGGCACCTACGGGGGTACTGTTACACGAGGGATCGAGTATTATGATAACTCCATCCTTCGTGTAACAGTTCATACACAATGGTATAGAGTGTTCGTGACTCAATTACTGCAAGACTTTTGGCTAGGAGTCCGGGTCAGAAAACCTCTCAACATCCTTTTCGAATTTACTTGATCTTGACTGAAGTGTCAAATCTGCCATTTTTGTTATTGTTGTTTTTTATGATAACCCAGATTTATATTAACTGATATTAATCAAGGTATTCGAATAATCGTAATGATCTATGTAGTTTGTGTATTAAAATACTATTAAATAGATAATAACTATTATGATGGCAGTGATGATTTTGAGTTTACTACCAGGAAATCATTAGCGACCGACATTTCCAGCTAAGTAATGTATATTTCTCTCAGAACACATGTTTAACAGGCAATTACCGACAAGCCAAACTATTGGTGAAACCTTCTTTTAATCATATCTGTAAAAGTTGATATTAATCGATAATTTTAGGTAGAGATGTTGTTTAAACACATATATCCACGACAAATGATAGACAACTAACAACCGACATGCTTGCAGTCACAAAAGCTCACCTATGAACAATATGAGCGTAAAACAATTGACTTACCACCTCTGTGTTTGATATACTCCGGACTTAACACTGCTGTTTTCTCAAGCCGACTCTCTATCTCTGTTGTGTCCTGTCCATTTTCTGCACAAACGATCAGCTCTAATAAGTCAGTCTGCCAGGTCTTTCTCAGGCGCTCTTTAAAATCTGTGTAACCATTAGCACCTTTGGATCTTACTTTTCTCAATATCGTTTCATTCTTATCAGTTGGGTCCTTACCCTGTAACATTGTATTTTATCAATAATATTCACATTGTTTTATTTTCATATATATTAAATGTTGATAGCAATTCCAATACGTTCGGTACGCGTTTAATTTGTGTTTCTATAGTAAGAATAGATTTTTTTAAATCACTTTTTGAAATATGCAGAAATGATAAGATTTTCTTTTAAGAATACCATAAATGTAAGTTCCAAGCATGAACTTAGATAATTTCTCAAATGCCTCAGCTTTTATACTTCAAATTCGTATAACAATATACAATATAAAATAAAAATTCACCATTGTCACACATTCATAAAATACTGACAATTGATTTAAGTAAACGTACTGTACTGGTCTTTTAACTATTATATATCGTACCTGGATATTCTTTCTGTCTGCGACAGTGAGTAATTCAAAGCCTGTTTCACAATAAATTATGGGATCTGGATGCAAATACTTCTTGACTGCCACATAATTCTTAACTATGGCTTTACGGAAAACCTCGTTATCACAAGACTCTGCCATCTCCAGCTTTCTTAAATATAGATTTATAATTCACCATTTATTAAACAATCTACATATAACACAGTATGGTTTGCTTGGCAACATGGTTAGTGTATTAAAGATATATCGCATTACAGTTGATTTCTATAGCGAAACAAAAATATATATTATTGAGAAATATTGTTGAAAGAAAATGCATATTGTCACTTTTCGTATTTTCATTGTAAAACATTGTTTTTTCATGTCATCGGAACATATTTTCAATATTTTCACTGATGTCTTGCCGGACTACTTTCGGCTAAATTCAGCCAATACACAATATTCAAGGGAAGTCAATCAAATTTTAATGTTTAAAAAGAGAGATCAATTATGGTATGATATCATATATCACTTATGGCTACCGCCACTCATGAAATATTTATTTTCATACCTTTCGTTGAAATAAATCCTGTATTTATATATTTTAAAAAAAACCCCTAAATATCCTCTTTATTTTTCAATTCTGTAAACCGTACATGATTCGTCCATATATTGTAACATACTTGTGTCACCCAGTTTCAGGAACGCTCTGTTCTCTGTTTCAATAAACTGTTTAAAACAGTGAAATTATCAATTTGATAATTTCACTTTTTGAATTTAAGCCCCTTTACGTTTATTCAGTGAAATACCAGCGTGCACAGTACTGGAAACCAACCTTATGAAGTGACGTCGTAAATGACGTCACGTTGTGCGATTATTTGGCGCTCTTTTCATTGAGTAATAGGTTAAATGTCTTTTTAAAACGTTTCTTTACATATAATAAAAAGAAAATGTGTTTAGTTTAGTGTAAGATCGAAATATATTTCACCTTCTGAACACCAAAAATTCATATTTCACTCGTGGCTGCGAAACTCGTGAAATATACACTTCAGTCATTGTTTACTATACATACGGTGTCACAATGAAAATATCTTTCGTTATGTTTAAAAAATAATTCTTATAGGTATCTTGTACAATAAGCATTACAATTTAATGAAAGAAAACTAAAATGATATAAAGTATTCTATTTTAAAATTAAAAGTGAAAAAATATTTTCGGCTCTCTGACGACCGAATTTACTTACTGTACTGATCAGGGAAGTAACCGCTGCGGGGAGTTTGATTACATTAGTGTAATAACACGTTGACGTAACGTCATTTGCGCTATGTTAAAGCGCGCTAATGTAAGCGTTACACTATAGGCGCATGAATGAAAAATGACTATTTTTTTACATTTTACCGTTCTTATTTTATATATGTGATTAATAGTATATGTTATTTTGGTTTTGGAGTGATATATGTGGATATATTACCTGTCAAGATTTTATATGTGATATAATATTTTTATAGGTGATATTTTATCTTGGCAGGTAATATATCCACATATATCACTCCAAAACCAAAATAATAATTTTATTACCCTTCCCCTGCCAAGTTAAGACAAGTTTAAAACAAATCAAACGTCGAAATAAGATTCCCTTTAGGGTACCCCTTCACCACAACATGATGTCACATGAATACATGACGTATTTTCGTTCGAACCTAACGAATGTAAACAAGAGAAAAATGGTAGTCTGTTGATAGCACTTTTTGGAATTAATATCAAGCTTTCACAAGGTCATATTTGTTTTCAATACTGATGAGAATATATATCATTACTCTATTTTGGTAAATATTTATCATTTGACAGTTAAAAAGTGCTTGTAAATCGGAATTTAAATCGCGTAAAATCCAATTCCCATTCAATATCATTTCATGATGAGCAAAAAAAGTCTAATCTATAATAATTGTGAGGCGTTTCTAAACTTTCAACAAGGTACAGATTTCAGTGGTCTCTTAATATAGATACATACATTATAAAACATATGCAAAAATAAGTAAATATACTTATTTTCTATTAAAATTTTGTCTTTTGGAATAATTTCATCCATCTTTATAAATTATTTGGTTGAAGTGGGGCCTTGGGTAGGGGATACAATTTATATACCCAGCTACGCGTTCTACACCTATAGTTAAATCCTATTGCTTCTTCTGTTTTTTGTTTGGTTTTTAATATCATTTTGACTGTCATTTGAGCCATTACTCTAAACTATACAGCAATGATACTAAAACATTCTTCTCTATTTATAAATAAAACATACAAGCCAACCCGGTTATCAACGAAGATATCATATTTCTGTTTTGCTTAACTACCATAAGTACTTTATAAACATAATGATTTTAAAATTGGTTATTCAAATTTGCTTGGATGCGACCTTACAACATTGATCAATTAAAAAATGATCTTTATGATCATTTTGTTTAATCGTTTTACTTCATCAGTTTTATGTTGGTTAAAAATCTAAGTTTAAACATATCTATTGTTTCACCGTTCTAGACAGCTAATTTGATACTCAAACTTTATTTATAGAAATAACACGAGTAAACACTTCGTTACAGATATCATAGTTCTGATTTGTTTCTCTACAAGTAGTTTGTTACCATTAAAATGGTTTCAAAGTAAGTCATTCAGATTGTGTGAATAAAACTATTTAATGGTCATATTAACATGTTATGAAACAATATAAAAATAGTTGTATTCTAATTGGCAATGCTTTCTTTCTTACATGAATATCCATATTTACAAAGACATCCTAAAGAATATTTGTGAAATAGTTTTAATGATGTTTTACAGGAGGACACGTCGATTCTCCACTTAGAATTACATTCAATACACTACTTTATACTGGCATCAGTTGAAATCAAATTGCATTTCTGAAAGAATATACAGAAGGTATCATGATATCTAAAGTGTTAACAGTTTTGAGCATAATAATGCTTATATAAACTATTGAAAAGGTAAAACGAATCAAAGGAAAGAAAAATAATTCCGATATCACATTTATACTTTGCTTATACTTGAAAATAATACATTGTACGATATTACTGAAACGTTTGTTCGATAAAACTTGCATCGGACAATCATTAACTAAGAAATTGCACATAAATAATTGATAAACAATTTAAATTCAAATTGAGGTGTTTATTTAAATTAAAGAATAATATGATATATTAATAATCGCATTATAAAGTAATCGACCTATAGACAATAACAAATGTACCTGATTATTGTTCAAATGTTCGTTAAAATAACTACGAGGGTCGAACTTCAGCATAAGCAAGTGATAACGTGATAAATTACAGCAATTAATACTGTGAACGAACAACATTATCTTATTCAGCCGGTAATAAAATACATGTATGTAAATGACATCAAACTTATGACAACCGTTTGTATATGTTGTGTCACTAATATTTTTGTACTTTTCGTTTAACGATATATTGTTAGTCATTTTGCGATTTTGTTTGCTCCTGTATCGAAATGAAACGAGCTAAACGATTACATTTCCTGGTTCCTTTGGACGAAATGAAACAAGCTAGACCATCTGATACAGTTTCGTAAATAATGTCCTGATATAACTACGAAATACCGTAAGGGCTATCGTGGTTATACATTAAAATACAGAGGGCGACAATGCGACAGTGCGATAGTACCAGTGCGATAACGCGATAGTACGATGATGACAGTGCGGTAGTGTAATCGCACTGTCGCCATCGCATTATCGCAATGTCGTCATCGCACTATCGTATTGTCGTCATCGCACTGTCACACTATCGCATTGTCGTACTGTCCTCATCGCATTATCGCACTGTCGCCATCGCAATAGCACACTGTCGCCATTGCGTTATTGCACTTTCGACTATCGCCTTCTGGTGTGCAGCAGTTTTTAACTGCTGACCAATAAGCTGACGGTATAGAATATCAGAAAATAGTTTTTCTTTTGTCAATAAATATTTTTCTTCTTGCTTTTCATTTCCTTATTATTATTATTTTTTGTTCGCTTCTTTTCTGTATACTTAAAACGTCTAAATAAAATTACAATTTAATAATAAGTAACATTTTATATCCAAAGATAGGAGAAATACTAAAAAAGTTATACATACTCGGCAAATGTAAAAAAATGTTTGAAACTTTAATTAAGTAGAACTATTTCAGATGAAATTGTTGACATTTAAAAGATGCAAAAAATAGAATAATTGATTATTACTTATGTAAAAAAACCAACAATATATTCATAGATCATGTTACAAAAATATGTACATAAAAATGTGTAATGGAAAATAATAATGATAATAATGTAGATTTGAGAAGTATGTATAAAATACAAAATAAAACGATTCTTTATATTTAATTAGTCAGCAATACATAAGTTTTCTCGACAGATTAATAAATCTAACTGGTAAGCACTGGTCACTATAAAAAATCTTCTAAAATTACTTAGTAATAGCTTTTTAATTATAGAGGTTTTATTGTTATGTAAGATGTAGATTTTGATATAACTTTATATAACTAACATTGTAAAAAAGATATTCAGAAATTTACGTCAACACATTTTTTCTATATACATAACATAATGGTCAGCAATTCAGCCCTGAGGAGAGGAAAATGATATTTCCCGTTTTATACTTATTTATTTTGCAATGTTGGTAAAAATTGCTTTGTAGTTTATGCTATATTTTCTTCTTATACTATATAGTCAGCGGATTTAATATACTATGCATTAGGTACAAATGTATAGTAGAATCTGCTGACCCGATAACCCATTACCGCAGAAGCATTTTGTGAAAAATGGCTCTTTTATTGAAAAACCACCTGTTACACAATTTCAAACTGCTATGAAACAATAAAAAATACTTTAAATACTAATTAAAACTTGGCACAAATGTTAACTGCATCATAGCCTTTGTAACGGCATGCTCAATCTTAATTTTCCTGTTACCATGGCAACGAGGGCATATTTCAAAATAACTATATTGTGTTGATTTTTTTTTATCAAAACTGATTTCAAAGTGCTGCAACTTCTCAAGAGTAAAATGCTTTTCAGCGTTGGTTACACGTTACCTTACGCCATTTTGAGCCTCTCACACGTCCATTTTATTTGGAGTTGAGTAGAGCGGGAGTCCCCTTTCAAAC